AATGCAAACTGGTTCAACAATTATGGAAAGCAATATGGAGGTTCCTCAAAAAAATGAAACTAGATATACCATTTGACCCAGGAATTCCACTCCTAGGAATTTACCCTAAGAAAACAGGATCACCGATTCAAAAAGACATATGCACCCCTATGTTTATTGCAGCACTATTCACAACAGCCAAGATAATGGAAGCAACCAAGTGTCCATCAGTAGCTGAATGGATAAAGAACATGTGTACATATACACAATGGAATATTATTCAGCCATAAAAAGAAAACAAATCCTACCATTTGCAACAACATGGATGGAGCTAGAGGGTATTATGCTCAGTGAAATAAGCCAGGCAGAGAGAGACAAGTACCAAATGATTTCACTCATCTGAGGAGTATAACAACAAAGCAAAACTGAAGGAACAAAACAGCAGCAGACTCACAGACTCCAAGAAGGGACTAGCGGTTACCAAAGGGGAGGGGTGGAGAAGGGCGGGTGGGGAGGGAGAGAGAAGGGGATTGAGGGATATTATGATTGGCACAGATGGTGTGGGGGGATCATGGAGAAGACAGTGTAGCACAGAGAAGGCAAATAGTGACTCTGTGCCATCTTACTACATTGATGGCCAGTGACTGCAATGGGGTATGGCGGGGGGACACAATAATATGGGTGAATGTAGTAACCATATTTTTTTTTCATGTGAAACCTTCATAAGAGTGTATATCAATAATACCTTAATAAAAAAAGAAACTGAAGGAACAAAACAGCAGCAGACTCACAGAACCAAGAAGGGACTAACAAGTTACCAAAGGGAAAGGGACTGGGGAGGGTGGGTGGGAAAGGAGGGATGAGGGGAAAAGGGGTCATTAACGTGCCCCCCTCCTAACATAATGTAGGGGGCGGGCATGGGGAAGGCAGTATAGCACAGAGAAGACAAGTAGTGACTTTATAGCATCTTACTACATTGATGGACAGTGACTGTAATGGGGTATGTGGTGGGGACTTGATAATTGGGGAGAATGTAGTAACCACAATGTTGCTCATGTGATTGTATATCAATGATACCTTAATAAAAAAATTGTATTGCTTAGTTCTCTTTGCAGAGCTTTATTTTTCTGCATTAGACTTTTTAAAAGGCAGGTTATATATTTCATTTATGTTGTATTGTCTGTCTTCTTCCCTCCTCCTATTAGGATGTAGGCACCAAAGGAGCAGTCATTTTTATCTGTTTGATCTGTTGTGTGCTCAGGGTGTAAAACAGTGCCTGGCACAGAGGAGGTGTGCACATTTTGTAGAATACACAAATGGATACTAAGAAAGTGTGAGAACTAATGTTCATGACTTGTTCTTTCTTTTGCCTCCATCTTTAAACAGTTGCATAACCTTTCCAGATGTGGAAAAATAGGACTATTGCAAAATGGGCTGCAGATTCAAGCATATATACCTTTTGCAGACTCCAGACTGGTTGTTAAGTCAGATTTCAGCCATGCTCCCCATTCCCCACCCTGCCCTTTATTTAAAGTGTTTTTTGATGTATAAATCCCAGGTTTAAGAGATTCATATTCATGTCAACATATTTCATTATTTCAAAGTAGAGAAATAAAGTGTTTGCCAATGATTTAATTCATAAATATTTAGGAAGGTCCTACTCTGTGCCAAGCTCCCCATGGTAGGTCTTGCAGGATATACAAAGGAAAAAAACTAAACTTCAGTTCTGGAATGTCTTAGGATCGAGAAATAGATAGAAGGTTAGCAAAGATAAAGAGCATAGAAGGCAGAATATGGTGACAATTGGTCTGGGGATAGAACTCGTACTTCTGCCTCCATCCCTAGCTTTTGCTTTCATAAGAACCAATACTTTTATGAGGAGAGGCTCTTATTCTTAACTTCAGAGGCTCCTACTGTGTTGCCCCCCAACCCTACATCCTACCCCCCATAGGAAGGGAAAGGGGAGGGTAAGAGGTCAAAGCAATGCAGAGGGGCCTTGTGGGCCCTAAGCTCTGCCCAGGCGCGGAGCACACCGGCCTCCATCTTGCTCAGTGCTGCAGCGGACATGCAGGATTCCACCTCGAGCGAGGGATCTTCGGGGCTGGGATACCTACTCTGATGCCTGCCAAGCTGCCTCCACCCCAGCCGGAGGAGCAGGGAGGGAGGAGAGAAATGTTCTGCTTTTACAGAACTGGTGCAGTCAGGTGGAAGGGGCCCCGGCAGGCCTGGTTCAGTCTCAGGGAATTCTGTCTCCTATAAAATTAAGGTAAGGGTACCCTGGGCTTGGGGTGGACAGCTCTAAAAGACAGTCTGCACATTATGAGTTCTTTCAGAAACACATTTAGAGAGAAGAAAACCACAGACAGATTTGTATACACAAAAACAACCCAACCATTTTGTGAGCACATTTTTAAGGATTTGCTATTTTCTTCTTATATATTTATAAATGACAGGGAAGGAGACAACATCATCATTAAATGGTATTCAGTCTGGAGAATGGGAGCCTCATACTCACCCAGGATTCTCCATAGTAACAAGGGCCAAGTTGGCAGATCCAGGTGCCAGAGGAGTTCTTAAAGGGTGTGAGAGCACTGGGTTGGGCAATCTAGGAAGACTTTGGAGAAGTGGTGTCTAGTACGACCCTTGGGCAGGCAAGGTTAAGTCCCTGGATGTGGCCATGGCTGAGGGCTCACTCTGGTTCTCCCCTATCCATATCCTTCCCCACAGAGTGAGGAACCCATGTGCTCACCTGTGTCTGCAGTTCTCTGCCCAAGTAACTCGGGACTGCTTAGGTCTACACAGCCCTCTTCCTCTGGCCCATCCCCCTGTGGCTGTGCTATGCTGCTGGTAAGGGCTCTGCTAGGCCCAATGGGTGACCAAGAGGTATTGTTTGTCAATGGAGTTTGACCGGGAGAGCAGGGTGTCAAAATGTGGGCACAAGGCCCTTGGCAGGGCTGGGTGGGACCGGGGTAGACAGAGAAGGTGGTGGGTCTCAGGCCAAGGGCCAGGGGCTAGAGGACACAGGCCAACTTTTTCTGTGCCACCACATTCAGGTTCAGAATGTCACAATGTCTGAGATTTATAAATTTGAACTTGGCCTTTGAGGTTGTATTAAGGGATATTTGCCAAGGTAGGAGAACAGATAGTATGTAATAGTGTGTTAGCTTGATTTATTCCTTTTTAGTATTTGGATCTCTGGTATGTGGGCCTCCTTTGCCCTCCTTTGTCAGATGTCAAGGCTAGTCCTGGGAGTATCTCTGGAGATGGGTTTGATGACTGGGAACAATTTGGATGGGTCTGGGTGGCAGAAGGTAAGAAAACCAGAGGCTTGGAGTGGGCATTTCCAGATGGCAGCGAGCAGAGTAGGGCAAGATAGCTGCTGTCCCTGCAGGCCTCCTCTCTGCCAGCGCTTCGGCATGGCATGCAGGGCCCTCCTTCTCAGCCTGGGCTCTGCTCACCTCCCAGACATCATCTTTCCATGTCTCCTCTGTGACGCCTGCTGTGCTCCAGCTGGCTTGAGCCATTGGTGCCCTCAGCATGCCATGCTCTCCATACCTCCTGCCTGCACACATGATTTCTGCTCTGCTCCCACCACCCTCCTTCCTGAGTCCCCTGCAGACCCTTTGCCTGCTTACCTCCTACCTGTCTCCAAAATCTCCCTTAAACTATATTTTCTCTGGAAAGTCTTCCCTGAGGGTCCACGCCCCATGCCAACCCCATCATGACACCCATCACACTCTGAAATGGCCTTGTCTGTTTCCACCAAGCCATAAGCTTCTTGGATGAGCTGAGAGAGGATCAGTGTGGAAGTGGCAGAGAGGTTCCAAATAGTTGTGTTTCAGTTTAGTTTACTTTCGACTCTTAGTGGTGATCACAATTCTTATAGTGGTATTTGGGCAGAAGGAAAAGTGGAGAAAGAATAAGAAAACTTTGACAGAAGATGTTTGATGTAATAGAAAATATGCTGTGCTTTTAAAACATTTTTTCTCAAGAGGTCTGGGTCTTTATGTGGATTCCCTCTGACTGACCTGGGGAAGGTGTATATGTGTGTGTGTGTGTGTGTGTGTGTACATACACACATACACGTTCACACACGGGTGGGGAGGGAGCCCTCACTTACCCAAGCCTTTGTTGATAAAACAAGGGTAGTGGGTGTATCAGGGTTTTCAGCCCTTAGGTGTCCTGCAGGGGCAGCTCCCTGGGTGGCTAGTGAGTGGTCCCGGGTCCTTCCCCTGTGCATCAGTGCAGCAACGTCCACTGAGAAGTTGAGAATTACCTGTAAATTTTCATCCTAAATTTCCCAAACCTGAATAAAAAGAGCTCCAAGTCTTCTAGAGCTCTTAAGTCCCCTTGCAGGCCCCAGTTCCTGGGGCTCTGTGATTCTGCAGGAGGAAGTAGCGGCTGGGTCCTGGGAGGAGTGGGTGTGGCTGAACGCTGAGCGCTCATGTAGGGCTTAAATGGAAGGGAGCTTTGAATCTAGATTGTCTGACCCTAAAAATCTTCCCGCTTTGCCTCCTCCCCAGGGACTCACTCTGAGATATTTCACCTGGGCCTTTCAGATCCTGACCATGGGATCCCTGAATGTATTTCAGTTGGATATACAGGCTATCATCCCTTGACCACATATGATGATGTGTCTCTTGGCAGAAGGAGCTGCAGGTCCCATGGTTGGCAGAGAACCTCATGCCTGATCATGGGGAGAGGAACACTCAGCTGCTGAGGGGCTGGCAGCAGGCGTTCAGAGTGGAACATGCAGGATCACTGCGTGTCTCAGGTGGTGCATGCCACAGGGATGCATGTTCTCTCTCACTAGCCCACATCCCAGCATGCAAGCAGTTGCTGAGTTGCACTGTTTTGGCACAACCTGGACAATCTGGTTGAGGGAGCTCAGTGCCCTCCATCTGCTGTAGGCACCTTCCACATTGTCTGTCTCTTCCCCAGTAGCCTGTTGTCCTTTGCTGCTATTTCCCACCCTCACTCAGGCTCCTGACCTGTATCTTCTCCTTTCCCATTCTAAATTTGGCCCTTCTGTCTCACTTCCTGGTGGCCAGCCTTAGTGAGTTCCTTGTTCATGCATAGTCACCTACTCTGTTAACTTCCCACGGGTATTTCTGGCTCCTGCATATCTCTCCCTCCTCTGCGACACTATAAAGCTTATCAATTAATCACTTCATTATAGTATAACTCCCCAAATGAATCATCATGCTGCTATGGTGTGCAGTAGGTACTCTGCAATACCTGTTGACAGGTGGTCTTATATCATAGGAACTGGCTGAAGACTCAGTGATGCCCTGGCAGGCCTGTGGGTGATGTGTTCTGGGGCAGAGGATGCCTCCAGCCATGCCCACAGTCCTCACCTGGGCACTCACCTCCATGTCCCTGTGTAAACCCCTTCCTGATCTGCGTGTGTGTTCTAGGGGTTCACACGTACCAGAGAATGATTGGCCGTGATTTGCTGGAGGTTGGAAGCACTGTGGGGTTTCTCCAGTAGGCAGGTGACAGACAAGATTTCATTATCTTCTATAAAGACAGCCTTTCCTGTATAGCTATAGAGAATGTGGCTCACATCATCAGGTGGGTGCAGGAGGTCAAATGGCATGAGTTACTATATCAAAAGAATTAGCTGAAAGAAGAATGTATTGCCTGATTAAGGAGATTCCTGGAGTATGGGAAAGACGCCCTACAAGGGACAGGTAAAGAGGAGGGAGAACACCTTTCTCCATATCCACAGACCCTTGGGTTTATTATAGAACTTTTTATAATCTGTATTCACCTAATTACAGTCACCCTATTCTGAAATCCATCTTGTTATTTGGACTGGGGTAACCTGTAACTCCCAATGAAAACTTGCCCTAGTTACTTTTTATCAGCATGTTGACAGGAGTCAGCAATTCCCCTTGCCTTGCCAAAGTGGAGTACCTCCAGGGACACCTACTTTTTTGGGGATCCTGTGAGACAAATCCTTCCACCTCTTTTCACTGATAAGTTGGAAAATACTCTAGTATCAATTCTTATAAGCTGTTTAGTAACCAAGGCTCACAACACCAGTATGAGCGAATATCTGGACTTACAAAGAAGACAGGGGGTCTTTGCTTTACTAAATGATTTATGATAAGATTTACTGAAAGGACTTACCTTTCAGTAAAAAATGCATCTTATACATTAAAGGTAGGACTCAATTGGTCAACTTTTAGTTAACACAGAACTTTTCACTTAGAATCTTATTATTCAGAATGAATTATGCCTGTCTCTTGCCTAGACATAATGTGTATTTTCCCCAGGAGTGATATTTAATTGTGGGACTTTGCAGAGCTGGGGCAGGCCCGCGAGGAAGGCATCTGGGTCACAGTTTTCTGTCCAAGGGTTTTGGAGGCAGATGATGAGCTTGGGCTTCTGCTCCCCCTCACTGACTGAATAGCCATCTTCATTTTAATGTTGCAGATAACAGAAACCTACTCAAACTGGCTTAAGCACAAAGGGGGAAGCTATTTGAAAGGCAGGACTCAGGTCAGTGTGGGGACCCAAGGAATCAAAACCAAGATTTGAATGGCTTTCTCCATGAGGTGGGGCTTGGCAGCCAGCATAAAGCTCGTACCCTGATATCACCACTCCAAAAGTATGAGCTTCTTTCTCTCTAGCGCTAGTTACAAACAATTTTTTTTCACAGAGGACTCTAATTGGTCTGAGTTGGATCATGTTCCGCCTCTTGGACAAATCACCGTGACCATCAGGATAAGTTTCTAGGGTTGGCTGCGGGTAACAGTCCTGGCAAGGACTAACCGGTACACTCAGTGATTTAACTGAGGAGAATTCAATAACAAGATTATTTACGGAGCTACAGTCAGGAGTGAGGAAACTAGTAGGGGATAGTGAAGTCCCTAGAGACATGCAACAGAGGGAAGCCATCATACCCCCAGATCTGAAGGGGCAGGGGGAGGGACCATCGCTACCAGAGGCCAGCAAGGGCTGGCACCCTGGAAGAAGAGCCTTCTAGCAAGAGCTGTGGCTGGGGAGGTAAACGCTTGCTGGCAGATTTCACTGAGGTGGCTGAAGAACTGGTGCTTAGACCCACAAGACCACTTTATATGCTGTAGGTCTCTGTTTGCACATTAGATGTTATTATTGTTGCCAGACAAGACTATCTGACAGCTTAGGATCTTGTTGAAATCTAGGGCCAACTTGGGGCTTTATGAGACCCTTCATTACTAAGGTATTTTGGGCCGAGGCTGGGCAGCTATGAGGAGGGGCCCTGTCTCCATTACCTAATCTTTCTGGGATTATATGGCCTTTGTCTGTCAATATAAGAGAACCCCCTAGCTGGCCTGCTGCTCTCGGTGAATCCAGCATTGGGGTGAAAGTAGGGAGCCTGAGACACAATTGCTATGAATTGGGATTTGAGGGTTAATACTAATCATGCTGATTCTGGGGTGAGGAGCTCTTTGGAAAAACAGAGGGAACCTGGGCCCCTGGGTTGTGAGGAATTTGATTTCAGTGTATCTGCTCTTCCACCCAGCCTGCTTCCTATCCAACATGAGTGACCTAATGGGGGTCTCAACCCTTTGGCGAACACCCACTCTTGCAAAAAGATCTGGGATCAATTTCTTACAGGCATTGTCAAAAAGCAAAGCCCCTCCTGGTGCATTTACATTTTATTGTTAATGTTGGGAAGCCTTTTTCTCATAAGTGTCATGCCTCGGGAAAAAGAGAAGAAAAGTATTGTTGACTTGAAGGTTCTCTGCATCAGGTGGCAGATGGCAAGGTGGGGTGAGGAGGTGAGTCTTAGAGATGAGCAGGGAGCAGCCCCTCCAGATATGTCATCGGGCGGTACATCTGGCGGTACATCTGGATGTGACCCAACTCAGCAGGGAACATTAAAGACAGCACCGTATGGAAAACTAGCAGAATAGTTGTGAGGAAGCAAGGGCACAAATGGGCAAGTCCCTGTTGTCCCTGCTGGAGGCCCTCTGTGATACAAATTTCTGTAGCTACCTCAAGGGCATAACCACGATGTGATCTATTACATATGTTTGTATCTGATGATAATCACTGTCTTAGTCCATTCAGGTTGTATAGCAAAATGCCCCAGACTGGGTAACTTATACACAATAGAAATTAATTTCTCACAGTTCTGCAGGCTGGCAGTCTGCAATGAGGGTGTCAGTATGCTTGGCTGAGGGCCCTGTTCTAGGCTGCAGACTGACTACTTTCTGGGTCCTCACATGGTGGAAGGGATCTAGGGAGCTCTCTGGAGTCTTTTTTTATAAGGCACTAATCCCATTCATGAGGGCTCCACCCTTACGATTTAAGCACCTCTACAAGGTGCCACCTCTTAATATCATCACTTTTGGGGCTTAGGATTTCAACATGGGAATTTGGGGGGGACACAAACATTCAGACTAGAGCAATTGTGAAAGTGCCAGCCTGAGTACACAAAGCACCTCCGAACCAAAGCAGCACTGAGATGGCTGTGATCATCAATTTTCACCAGCACGGAATTGAGAAAAGGGAGGGCTGAGCTCTCATCTCTAATCTGCTAAATTATTTATCAAGAACAGTCACACATTATATAGCTGCTTTCCTTTTCTGTGACTCATAAATGTATTTCAAAAGTTAACAGTAGATGATTTCAACACACTTTCCAAATACTCAAAGCTATAAGGCTTGTTCTGCTCTAAGGGGGCAGAGCATGGCTCAGTTTCACGTCATCGTTCTAGTAGGAAGTACACAGTAAAGAAGTTTGTCATTGATGGACCCAGATTCTAGGTCATTCATGGTTTTAGATGTTTCCTGCAATGTAGAAACTTAATTGGGAAGTCCAGTTGCTGCTAAATTCTAATATTTTATGCTAAGTACATACTATGCTTCTGTCTAACTTTACTTCTTCCTAGAGTCCCTACTGGTTAGAATAAATCTCAACTTTTCCAGGTATTACAACGTTTCTCTGCAAAGCTCATGGCTTTTCCCACCCCACCACCTCAGATTTCCATGATCTGGATGAACAAGGGAGGAAAAATTGTGCAAGACATGGATTATGGAGATATTCCTCCCAGTGGGAACGGAGCCTATCTGACATGGGTGTCTTTAACATTAAATTCCACACCATCTTGTAAGACGTATTGCACTGGGAAGAGAGCAGGTCTATTTTTGGAATGGTTTCTTTTTACATTAGAGAGTTAAGACTTAATGTATGTTTGGGTGGCCACAGTGATGCAGGTGACGTCAATGCCTTTTCCCACCAGCTGCATGGGACTCTCATCAGGTACATGAATGGTCAAAGCCTCTTTGTGCTCCCAGGTCTTTGCCCCACACTTAACACAAAATAAAAACGCCCAGACGGATAAAGAGGAGGAGATGAAGTCCGTGGCAAGGATGTGGTGACAAGATATTTCATAATGCACTTCCAACATTTCTGTTTCTCCCTCAGGGATTTTATAATACGGAATTATCATATAAATAAAATATAAAGGGGTGATTTTTAATAAGCCTAAATTTTTGTAAACTTCATTTTCTAGTGGTTCAAAATGACATAATTTATTAATAATGGTAGACTTGTTATTGCTTCATTCATTTGTGTTTGTTATTTACAGAAGCTCAGTAATTGGAATCTATGAACTATTTGATAACAGTCTAAACATTTAAAACAAAGAGCTGTGCTATCATCACAGTCGTGTTTGGGCTTTGGATTGTCTTTACCTAATACTTGATTAAGAACACTGGATGAAAAATCTCTTCAACTCCCTTCTTCTAATTCTTCTTTTTTTTTTAACTCCAGTCCATTTATTATGTGTTTTCTTTTTTTTTTTTTCACTCCGGAACCCTTTATTGCATCACATTACAACCGATTCAACTCCATTCCACAACACTGCACCGTGTTCTGTCGCATTCCATTCTGCAAAAAAAGGCTCCACTCTTTTCCAAAACAATCAGGAACCGTCTATTGCATCACATTACACCCCATTCCACAACTCTTCACTTCATTTCGCAACATTCCACTATGTTCTTTTTTTTTTTTTTTTTGAGAGGGCATCTCTCATATTTATTGATCAAATGGTTGTTAACAACAATAAAATTCTGTATAGGGACTCAATGCACAATCATTAATTAACCCCAAGCCTAATTCTCAACAGTCTCCAATCTTCTGAAGCATAACGAACAAGTTCTTACATGGTGAACAAGTTCTTACATAGTGAATAAGTTCTTACATGGTGAACAGTACAAGGGCATTCATCACAGAAACTTTCGGTTTTGATCACGCATCATGAACTATAAACAATCAAGTCAGATATGATTATTCATTTGATTTTTATGCTTGATTTATAAGTGAATCCCACATTTCTCCCTTATTATTATTATTATTATTTTAATAAAATGCTGAAGTGGTAGGTAGATGCAAGATAAAGGTAGAAAACATAATTTAGTGCTGTAAGAGGGCAAATGTAGATAATCAGGTCTGTGCCTATAGACTAAGTATTAATCCAAGCTAGACAAGGGCAACAAAACATCCTATGTGTTTTCTTTTTAAGCACAGGCAGACCAAGAGGCAATGGCCGTATGAAAGGGAGGGAAGGAAAGTTTTTGAAAAGCTTGGTTTGGCCGGGCCAGCCTCCTCTGTCACAGGGATCTTGAGCTGTCCTATCAGAGCCCTGGCCTCTGTCTCTCTGTTCTTGCTTCCACCCTTTTCAAGTTCTTCTGAGCCTTCCCTTATTTCCAAGGACCTTACTTGGTTTTTCCTCTTCTATTTTTGACCTGAGGGGAGATGGTTTTTGCAGGTATGATCAGGAGGAATGGTTGCCCACT